AATTCCAAAGTAAATTTCCTTTAAGTTCTCTTTGAGGACCTGCTATTCTTAAACATGTCTTTCCTTATCTTTCCTTTTCAAAATTGTCTTGGATATTCTTGTGCATTCAGTCTTCTAGGTGAATTTTAAAATCTTGTTGAGAATAAAGTGTTCTTGTTAGTTGTTTTCTGAGACAGGGTCTCAGTTTGTCACCCAGGCTGGAGTGCAGTGGCGAGATCATAGCTCGCTGCAGCTTCGACCTCCTGGGCTTACCTCAGCCCCTCACGTAGCTGGGACTCCAGGCACACGCCCCCAGGCCTGGCCAATTTTTTATTTTTTGTATTTTTTGTAGAGATGAGGTTTCACTGCGTTGCCCAGGCTGGTCTCGAACTCCTGAGCTCAAGAGATCTGCCTGCCTCAGCCTCCCAAATTGTTGGCACTACAGGCGTGAGCCTCTGTACCTGGCCTGAGGTACTTTTTATGTTTTGAGGTGGAATATCCACAGCACACGCTGCTAAGGGACAGAAAATGAGAAACAGAGCAGTGGGTATAATATGCAGCCATTTAAGTTAAAGAGAGAGAGAGAAATACACATACACACACCCTTGTGACTTTGCTTATATATTCAAAAATATCTCAAAAAAGATTCCACAAGGGCTGGCCAGGGTGGCTCGTGCCTGTAATCCCAGGACTTTGAGGGCCCGGAGCAAGAAGATCCCGTGAGCCCAGCCCAGGAATTCAAGACCAGCCTGGGCAACACAGTAAGACCCTGTCTCCACACACACAAAAAATATGTAGAAAAATAAAAAATTAGCCAGGCCTGGTGGCACGTGAGTAGTCCCAGCTACTTGGGAAGCTGGGGTGCAAGGGTCACTTAAGGCTGGGAGTCTGAGGCTACGCGCCGCTGCACTCCAGCCTGGGCAACAGAGCGAGATGCTGTCTCGAAGAAAACAAAACCAAAAAGAATCCACAGGAATCTACATTGCGTCTGTGGCGGGCCCTGGTGGCCGGGCCGGGACGGGGTAAAGAGAGGAAAACTTCCTTTTCATTGTAGCGCTCTTGAATTCTGAATTGTTACTTCTCCAAAATACGTAAATAATTATGTTAAATAAATTTAAGTTCGCCCAAAACACCTCACTGTGGTTGGTAGCGGGAACTGCAATGGATTTATTGCTAATTTGGAGGGAAATGGCGTTTTTACAGCACACATCTTCCCAGCTGGTAATGTGGGCGCTCCATTTATTTAAATCTGCTTTACGGACTTTCATAAAATGTATTGTTTTTCTTTAGATAGGCTCACTCCTTCCTTGTTGGACTTCTTTCTAGGTATTTTAGAGTTGTTACAGCTATTATGAATGAGATTTTTAAAAAGCTGTAATTCCTAACTATATGACTGGCATACAAGAAAACTGCAGAGCTGGTATACAGCTACTTTATCGATTTCTTACTGTTTCTATCAGCTTTGTCTTTTTCTTTTCTTTTTTTGAAACAGAGTCTCGCTCTGTCACCAGGTGCCAGGCTGGAGTGCAGTGGCTCGATCTCGGCTCATTGCAACCTCCGCCTCCCGGGTTCAAGCAATTCTCCTGTCTCAGCCTCCCGAGTAGCTAGGATTACAGGTGCATGCCACCACGCCCCACTAATTTTTGTATTTTTAGTAGAGATGGGGTTTCACCATGTTGGCCAGGATGGTCTTGATCTCCCGACCCCGTGATCCACCCGCCTCAGCCTCCCAAAGTGCTGGGATTACAGGCGTGAGCCACCGAGCTGTGTCTTTTTCATTAGCAGAGGCTGAGAATTTCAGCATTTCATTTCCAAGGTCCAGATCTCCTTTCTTTGTCTTCTTTTCTCTGCATGGCTGGAGCCTCCGTTACAGTTCGGGTAACCGCTGTGCTAGCAGGTGCCCGCATCTCATTCCTGATTTCAAGTCCAGTCTTTCCCCTGGGTAACATTTTCTAGTTAGTTTCTGATGAATACTGAGAACTTTCCTTCTATCCTAGTTTGGGATGGATGATGAGTTTTATGAAACACCCATTTGGCACCCACCCAGGAAGCCTTTTTCTTTTTTCCCCATCCTTTTATTTTATTTTTTAATTAATTTTTTTTTTTGAGACAGAGTCTGGCTCTGTCGGCCAGGCTGAAATGCATTGGCACGATCTCGGCTCACTGCAACCTCTGCCTCCCGGGTTCAAGTGATTCTCCTGCCTCAGTCTCCTGAGTAGCTGGGATTACAGGTGTGTGCCACCACGCCGGGCTAATTTTTGTATATTTAGTAGAGATGGGGTTTCACCATGTTGCCCAGGCTGGTCTCAAGCTGCTGACCTGAGGTAATGTGCCCGCCTTGGCCTCCCAAAGTGCCAGGATTACAGGTGTGAGCCACTGCGCCCGGCCTCCATCCTTTAATTTATAAATATAACGCATTAAATTAGTAGATGTTTAAATTGTGAAGTATTCCCGTGTGAATTCCAGAAGTAAATTCTACTTAATTTGCTGACGTTTTGTTCAGGATCGTGAGGCCGCATTAGTTTCCTGTTTGTATGCTGTCCGCGTTGGCAGCCAGCCTTTCGCTAAGCATTGCAGGACCGGCCTGCGTAGAGTTTCCGGAATCTTCTATCCCCTGGAGCTTTGATAACACAGGAAGTGTTTGATCCTTGAAAGGTTACTAAGAGGCTTCCATCATACCTTCCAATACAAGTACATTTAGGGAAAACAGATTTTTGATAGCAATTTCAATTTTCCATGATGAAACCAGCACAATGCATAGCTTTCTTGAAATTAAAAACAAAACCGAAAACCCTCCCCCAAGTTGTCCTCATTCCCAACACTGTTACCTGACACGATCTCCTTTTTGTTGTCAGAGAAGCCAGCAGTATATAGGCTTAATTGGTCATTTAAAAAAAAAAGCGGTTTTATGTATGAAGTCAATTCATTTTGATTTTATTTCATCAGCTTCTGGTTTTGATCCTTACTGGTTTCTTTTTCTACTTCTTTCAGCTGATTTGCCTGTTTTTAGCTTCTTGGATAGAATACCTGTTTTCAGGCTCGTTGGTGGAAATGTAAATAAACTGTCATGGGTTTTGTCTGGGCAGATTTGGCTGCAGACGGAAGTCTTCACACGTGGACTTCATGTTGTCATTAATTTCCACAGTCTATAACTGGCGTGTAGGTCAAATGCTAACGATCCTTCTCCCTTAGAATTCTGTACGCATTGGGAGGCCGAGGGGGGCGGATCACGAGGTCAAGAGTTCGAGACTAGCCTGACCAATATGGTGAAACCCCCGTCTCAAGAAAAATACAAAAATTAGCCGGGGATGGTGGCGTGTGCCTGTGGTCCCAGCTACTTGGGAGGCTGAGGCAGGAGAATCACTTGAACTCGGGAGGCGGAAGTTACAGGGAGCGAGATCGTGCCACTACACTCCAGCCTGGGTGACAGAGTGAGACACCGTCTCAAAAAAAAAAAAAAAAAAGAATTCTGTATGCATTGACATCCTGTGATTTACATTTAAGATCTGTCCTGGCCACATGTTAGCATCATCTGGAAGCTTCAAGGTAAACAGGAAAGCTAGAAACAGTCAATGCCTGGTCCTTCCCAGAACAAATCAATCTGGAACCTGGGCTGGGCTGGGTCCTGCTGGTTTTGAGCTCTCCTGGTTCCTCCAAGGGGCAGCTGATGGAGACCTTGATTAAGGCGCAGCCCAGGCCCGGCCTCGAGAGGCCACCTGGGTTTTCCCGCCTGGAAGCCTGCAGCATTTTCTAGTTTTGCCGTGGAATTTGGAACTCCCACCAGCTATGTCTGGGCAGGCTTATCTTCTCCTCCAGCTGCATGGCCAGCAGTCTTTACATCTGCAGATTCGTCTTTCCCGAGCTCACGCACCTGCTCTCCGTTGCCTCTCATCTCCGGAAACCTCTCTCTTACGGACATGGATTTGGTTTTCCTGCTGTTGTCCATGTCTTTTGTCTCCTCCTCAAGCTGTCCATCGTTCTGGGTTTTGCTTTATTTCTGGGGAGGATCCTCAAACTGGCTTTTTAGTTAAGAAATTTGGTTTTCAACTGCACTCATTTATCTAGTGTCTTTTGAGGGGGCGATGATTATATTTTTTAATTCCATGTACCCCTTTTCCTAACGCTTTTTCTCTTTATGGATGAAACGCCCTCTGCAATCTCCTGAGACTGCCCGCAGGCACCTCCGCGTGCTCTGTTTTCGGAATCAGGGCTGGGTTTGCCCGTCTCTCAAGCTCTGTCTCCTGTCAGGTCTGGGGATCTCCGCTTGGCGACTCACATTTTGGTGTGAAGGTTTAGCGACTGTGATGGTGAATACTGCGTGTCAACTTGATAGGATTGAAGGATACCAAGTACTGACCCTGGGTGTGTCCCTGTGGGCGGTGCCAAAGGAGGTGAACATTTGAGGCAGTGGACTGGAAAGGCAGAGTCACCCTCAATCTGGGTGGGCACCACGTGGTCAGCTGCCCGTGCAGTGAGAACGTCAGCAGGCAGAAAATGCGAAAAGAGAGCCCGGCCTGGCCCCCAGCCCACATCTTTCTCCCGGGCTGGATGCTTCCTGCCCTTGAACATCAGACTCCAGGTTCTTTGGTTCTGGATCTCGGACTGGCTCTCCTTGCTCCCCAGCCTGCAGATGGCCTGCGTGGCACCGCACGATCCTGTGAGGTAATGAACTCCCCTTTCTGTTCATATCTATCTTGTTGGTTCTGTCCCTCTAGAGAACCCTAATACAGCGACTGCTGGGCTCTGTCTCCCTCTCAGACAAGGCAGGTGACTGTGGGCTTTCTCCAGGGCTGGGCCCCACGTCTCACCTAAGGGACTATGCAGGGTCAGCACCCCTGTCAGGGCTGGGACCGTTGCTCAGATTCTTCAGTTCTGAGAGGGCACAGACGGTGCTGTTTGATGCAGGCATTGCCGGGTTGAAGAGCCTCGGCTCCGGCCTCTCCCAATCTCCAGGAAGCACAGAGTCCACCAGAGCGTTTGGATCTTTTCAGAATCACACCCACTCTTTGAGCCTTCATAGAGGGGAGCCAGCAGGCACTCCACCCCAGCTCCACGCCTCCGGCCTCACTGCAGCGTGGGGAGCAGGGTGGCGGCATGCGTCCTCCTTCAGGTCGGTCTAAATTCTCTTACTTTTGCAGGATGTGGCTCTTTGATTTCAGCGTGGATGTCATGTTCTTTCCTTTTGGTGTTTTCTATTAATTGGATGGTAACTGGAGAGAAGTTCTTGGGAAGTGCCCACTTACCTTAACTCTGAAATTTCCAGAAACCTCTTCCACTTTTCTCAGGAGTTAAAATGTTTCTTTCCAGGCTGGGTGTGGTGGCTCCTACCGGTAATCCCAGCACTTTGTGAGGCCAAGACAGGAGGATCCCCTGAGGTTGGCAGTTCAAGACCAGCCTGACCAACACGGAGAAACCCCGTCTCTATTAAAAATACGAAATTAGCCAGGCGTGGTGGCACATCCCTGTAATTCCAGCTACTCAGGAGGCTGGGGCAGGAGAATCGCTTGAACCCAGGAGGTGGAGGTTGTGGTGAGCCAAGATCATACCATTGCACTCCAGCCTGGGCAACAAGAGAAAAACTCCATCTCAAAAAAAAAAAAAAAAAAAAGTTTCTTTTCAGAACAGCGGGGCTGGCCATGTGGTTCTGTTTTCTTCCAGATTCACGTAGGTCATGACCCCATTGTAAGAGTAATACAGAGTGGAGAGAGGAAGTTGAAAACATCGAAAAGTATACACTGAAGTACTCTGTGGCCACAAGAGGAAGCCACTGCCCCCAGTCACCTACGTGGCCGGCTCTGTGCAAGGGCGCGGCTTTAGCAGTAATGTGGCATAGCTCGTGCTGTACCCCCCTGTCTCATCCGATCTGAAGCTCCTGGCTGACCTGCCACACATGTCCTGTGGCGGCTGGGCCCGGGCCGTGGTGTCCCCCTCGTGTCCGCCCCGGCCTCACTCTGGAATGCGCACCTGTCGAAACCCCAGCCCGCCAGCTCTGCTCCCGCCTCCTGGTCTCGCCCACCCTCGGAGCTCTGCCGGTTTTGAGTCTCTACACCCCAGCTGTTAGCAGCGTCAGCATTTGCTTCTTTGCCCTACAGGTGCCATTTAACATATTTATGACTGGACACGATGCCTCACGCCTGTAACCCCAGCATTTAGAAGGTCGAAGAGGGTGGATCACCTGAGGTCAGGAGCTCGAGACCAGCCTGGCCAACATGGTGAAATCCCATCTCTACTAAAAATACAAAGATTAGCCAGGGGTGGTGGCGGGCGCCTGTAATCCCAGCTACTCAGGAGGCTGAGGCGGGAGACTGGCTTGATCCCAGGAGGCGGAGGTTGCAGTGAGGCAAGATCACGCCACTGCACTCGAGCCCGGGTGACAGAGTGAAACTCAGTCTCAAAAAAAATGAAAGATATTTATGTGCCTTCCCTTCCTAAAAAGGGTGGGAACCCCTCCAGGACACACACACCTCTTACTTTTCCTTCTTTTTAAAAAATTTTTTTTTTTTTTTCAGACAGAGTCTCACTCTGTAGCCCAGGCTGGAGTGCAGTGGCACAATCTCGGCTCACTGCAACCTCTGCCTCCCAGGTCCCGGTTCAAGCAATTCTCCTGCCTCAGCCTCCTGAGTAGCTGGGATTACAGGCACGCGCCACCATGCCCAGCTAATTTTTGTATTTTTAGTAGAGACAGGGTTTCACCATGTTGTCCAGGCCAGTCTTGAACTCCTGACCTCGTGATCTGTCCACCTCGGCCTCCCAGAGTGTTGTTGGGATTACAGGCGTGAGCCACCGTGCCCGGCCACATCTTCCTTTTCTAGGTGCCTGGTCATGGCACGTGGAGATGCCCCTGGGGAAACCCCTCCAGGACCCAGTAGCACGTGGGGCCTCGGGGCTGCCTTACACTTTTTGCGCTCCTCATTAGCGGCAGCGCGGGTCCTGGTGTAGAGCGCGCGCGCGGTCTGCAGCTCCTCCTCCTTCTGCCTGCGCTCCCTCACCACAAGTGAGTGGTGGTCGTGGTTCTTCTCCAGTGCCTTCTGCAGGTGCACCAGGTGCTGCTGCACCTCATAGAGATTCACCCCCAGCTCCTGCCGCTGGGCTTGGCTCTGCTTGGTGGCCACCACCTGGACCGAACAGGGAAGCAGGGTCACCAGGATGCAGGCATCCGGCCATGGTGGGAGGCTGGACAGATACACACCAGCTCTTGAAGGTCCAGTTTCAGTTTTTCGATCTGTCGGTTCAGGTAGTTCTTCAGGGCAGCCTGGAATCTTACCATCAGGGGCTAGAACAACAGAAAAGCACATGCGGTTACCTTCCTGGTTGCCCTCCTGTCCCTCCCAGGGCTCAGCCAGGTGGCCATAGGTCTCCCTCTGGCCGGGCATACATGACTTCCATGCGGAGGGCTCCCTACTTCTGCTTGGGACTCATACTCTGGAAGCCACAAATTAAAGGCACCTCATGGTCTCATCTCAGGCACTTGCAGAGCTGGGCGCATATTTTGGCAAAATGATGGTGAACTGGGCCAGAGGGTGGGGTAGAGCAGTGGTCTGGGGAGAGAACTTCCCCATGCAGCCCCAGCATCTTCCTGCAGCTCCTGGAGCTCTGCAGCTTTCCTGATGGGTGAATGAAATCAACATCTGCCTTTCCCCTTGCCAGTGGGTGTGGCAGGGAGCTGTGATCCAATTGGCACCCTCGAGGCAGTGGCTCCCAAGGTGGGCACTTTTACCCCTTACCCACACTCCCAACATTCGGCGCTGACTGAAGACTTTTTTTTTTTTTTTCAGGTGGAGTCTCGCTCTTCACCCAGGCTGGAGTGCGGTGGCGCGATCTTGGCACACTGCAATCTCCACCTTCCAGGTTCAAGCGATTCTCCTGCCTCAGCCTCCCGAGTAGCTGGGGTTACAGGTGCCCGACGTCACGCCCAGCTAATTTTTTTTTGTATTTTAAGTACAGATGGGGTTTCACCATGTTGGCCAGGCTGGTCTCAAACTCCTGACCTCAGGTGATCCACACGCCTTGGACCCCCAAAGTGCTGAGATTATAGGTGTGAGCCACCGCGCCCAGCCTGGAGACATTTTTGATGGTCGCAACCAAGGGGGGATGCTCCTGGCATGCAGTGGTGGTGGGCTCAGGGTTGCTGTTCAACACCATGCAAGGCACAGAGCAGAGTGACCCGGCCCCAGGGGGTGGTGGCGCTGGGGCTGAGAAACACAGGCCTTAGGCGTATGAACCTCCGAGGAGATGACCCTATGAAGGGGCAGGTCAAACAGCACCGATCAATGGTGCAGTGAACGGGCGAGATACAATACAGTATTTAGGATCAGGAGTGGGCCACGGTGCAGGCAGAGAAAGTGGCCTGCGTCACTCTCCATCTGTGTAGGCAAAAGCAAAACCTGGGAAGGCTTCCTTACGTGGTCTGGGTCCAAAACCACCAGTTGGGACCCTTCTTGGTCTTCTGCTTCCTCGTCACTCCCTTCGGACTCCGTTCTCTCCGCCATGGCCCTTTCCTCGATGCTGGACTGCTGGGTCTGGTTCCAGGACTCTGGCAGGTCTCCTTCCCTGGCGGGGGCATCGGGCTCCCCTGGGGGATCAATGGGGAAGGGACAGAGACACCATTGCAGAGCTGCTGGAGAGAAGGCTCAGTGATTCTTTTTTTTTTTTGAGATGGAGTCTTGCTCTGTCACTCAGGCTGGAGTGCAGTGGCACGATCTTGGCTCACTGCAACATCTGCCTCTTGGGTTCAAGTGATTCTCCTGCCTCAGCCTCCTGAGTAGCTGGGACCACAGGCGCACGCCACCACACCTGGCTAATTTTTGTATTTTTAGTGGAGACAGGGTTTCACCATATTGGCCAGACTGGTCTCGAACTCCTGATCTTGTGATCTGCCTGCCTCAGCCTCCCAAAGTGCTGGGATTACAGGCGTGAGCCTCCACGCCTGGCCGAGGCTCAGTGATTCTATTCTGGGGCATCAATGGCACAGCAGCTCAGGCAGCATGATGGGAAAGTGACAGAAAAGCATCCGAACGTCCTGTGGGTCAGAAACGTCATTCACCGAATCGTCTGTTCACAGACTCAACACATTCCAGAGAAAGGGTCCCATTTTAAAGGTAGGCAGGAAGGAAATTATTTTTGAGAGGCTTTTTTTTATATATAAACAGTGAATAGAAAGATAACCACTTAACTAATAGATTAGATTTGAAACTTTTTTTTTTTTTGAGACAGAAGTTTGCTCTGTCACCCAGGCTGGAGTGCAGTGGAGCGATCTCGGCTCATTGTAACCTCTGCCTCTCAGGTTTAGGTGATTCTCCTGCCTCAGCCTCCTGAGTAGCTGGGATTACAGGAGCCCACGACCACACCGAGCTAATTTTTGTATTTTTTAGTAGAGACAAGGTTTCACCATGTTGGCCAGGCTGGTCTTGAACTCCTGATCTCAGGAGATCCACCGGCTTTGGCCTCCCAAAATGTTGGGATTACAGGTGTGAGCCACTGTGCCCAGCCTGCTTTTTCCTAATTTAGGTACGTGCTGTTTTCCTGTCACTTGCAAGTAATACAAGGTTTTGGTTTGGACCAACTGCATGTCAGTATCACAGGGAATCTGCAACTTCCTGATCTGCCCTCCCACCTCTACAACGCTGGGATGCCAGGACTGCATAAGAAGACAGGGGTTCTGAAAGCCTTTGAAAGTTCACAGATAGACGCAGGCCTGGGGCTGCTATCACAGCCCTTCTCCCTCTGATACCAGGAGGCAGCGAGAAGTGGCCATCAGGGGATGGGGCTGGGCATCGCTGCATCTTGGCGAAGGCCGAGTTCTGCCACCTAATTGGACCAGTGCCTTCATGCCCTTAGGGGACCTGCCTGTAAAACAGAGAACGGCTCCTACTTCACTGGTCACTGTTAGGGTTCAACGAGGTCAAACAGTCAGTGCCCAATAAGTGTTATCCATATCTGTTGACAATATTTTTATCTTTCAGCTCACAGCCACCCGGAAAACCGGTAACCCATGACCCGAGTGGTGTCACTTGCACAGAAGGGCCGGTGCAGGTGGCTCCTTGCCAGGGCAGGGTGACCTTGGCGGGCGGGGCCGGGGGTGGGGCGGCACCTGGCTCCAGCGAGAACTCTTCCAGGTCTGAGGACTCCATGCTGCTCCCCCGGCTCAGCCGGAAGCGGTGTCGCACGCCTGACGGGGAGACCTTCGGCGGGGGCTCCTCTGTGGACCCCGTCTACGGGAAGAACAACCCACACTAAGTCAACAAGGGCTGAATGGCCACTGAGGAGTTATTCAATTTTAATTCATTACCTTTGTGAAAGTTGTCAGAATCAAAATATAGACACCTCTGTGTTTAAAAAAAACCTGGCCAGGTGCGGTGGCTCACGCCTGTAATCCCAGCACTTTGGGTGGCCGAGGAGGATGGCTCACCTTAGGTCAGGAGTTTGAGACCAGCCTGGCCAACATGGTGAAACTCCGTCTCTGCTAAAAATACAAAAATTAGCCAGGCAAGGTGGTGCGTGCCTGTAATCCCAGCTACTGGGGAGGCTGAGGCAGGAGAATTCCTTGAACCTGGGAAGTAGAGGTTGCAGTGAGCCAAGATCACACCACTGCACTCCAGCCTGGGCGACAGAGGGAGACTCATCTACAAAAAGAAACCCAAAAAAACCCCCTGAAAAACAGAGCTGGGAAAGCCATTAAGGGAAGGGTTTCTCATAACAAATGCTATCACAAAAGACTCTGCAAAACCCACAACGTTGCACCAAGGTCAGCATAACCTTTCAAAAAAAAAAAAAAAAACAACACACACTTCTGCAAGGACAGCTACCCAGCAACTGCCTGTCCAAACTTGGACTGACGCCAGCCTGTCACTCAGCCTTACAGCCAAGGAGAATTATTGCAAAACAGTGATGTAATCCTCCTCATTTTTCCTGTATCAACTTTCATCTTCTGAATGCAAACAGTTTACTGTGGAACCCAGATACCCATTGCAATGCCCTATCCCCAAATAAATATCGTTTTCCTTTACAGAACCTCCCTCTGTTTGTTATTTAGGATGATACATTGCTCACCATTTAACATAATTGTTAAAGTAATAGGAAATCATTTGGATATAAAGATCATTTGACTTTCACAAATGTTCAAAATGGAAAACGACTAACTCTCCCCACAGAGGGAATTCAGAAGAGGTTTCCCTGGCTCACACCTGTAATCCCAGCACGCTGGGAGGCCAAAGCAGAAAGACTGAATGAGGCCAGGAGTTTGAGACAAGCCTGGCCAACATAGCGAGACCCCATCACTAACTAAAATATTTAAAAAGTTAGACCAGTGTGGTGGTGTGCACCTGTAGTCCCAGCTACTCTGGAGGCTGAGGAGGGAGGACCAGTTGAGCTCAGAAGGTGGAGGCTGCAGTGAGCCATGATTGCAACACTGCACTCCAGCCTAGGCGACAGAGTGAGACCCTTACTCTATAAAAGTAATAATAAAATAAAGGAGTGGTTTCTGCTTGTCTGGATCTGTAGCTAAGTGTAAACACGCGGGCTTGAGAATGCGTGGGTCATGGGATCGTTTGCTCCCATGTGCTGGGCACCATGAGCATGGAAACCGCCTGTCTGAGCACCCTCTTCATGAAAGCGTGCAGGAAAGCCTCGGCTTCCGGCCAGGGCCTCCCAAGGGGACTGTTTCCTCTTCTCTCCTTCCAAAGCAGCCCCCTTTAGGGAAATTTCCATAACAAAATGTCTTCCTTTCATAAAAACACCTGGCTCGATTTTAGCTTTATTTATTTACTTGTTTGCTTATTTATTTATTTTTGGGATGGGGTCTTGCTCTGTCGCCCAGGCTGGAGTGCAGGGCTATGATCTCTGCTCACTGCAACCTCCACCTCCTGGGTTCAAGCGATTCTTGTGCCTCAGCCTCCCGAGTAGCTGGGGTTACAGGTGCGCACCACCGCACCTGGCTAATTTTTGCATTTTTAGTAGAGACGCGGTTTCACCATGTTGCCCACGCTGGTCTTGATCTCCAGACCTCAAGTGATCCACCCGCCTCGGCCTCGCAAAGTGTTGGGATTACAGGCGTGAGCCACCGCGGCCGGCCTCCCTTTTAGCTTTAAAAGAGACTTTTGCAGTTACTCCTACTGCCAATAACGATCGCAGATGATGAACTGTTGGATGTTGGTAAGAACAGATGGTAAGTCAGGGTCTGGCTGCCCATCAACAACACTGTTACGAAGCTCATCTCACGCCGCCCTTGCCATAACCCACACGCCAGGTTCTAGTCATCCCTGTCATCCACAGCGGGAGGCAGCCACACAGATGCTAAAGAGTTTGCACGGGCAGCCCTGGGTACGTTCAGCCCCGGCTGCCTCTGCCTCCAGCCCATGCACGGCCTCCCTGCGCTTCCTCAGATGGTGTTGACTCTAGAAACGATTTCTGAGGCATCTGGAACCGTAACAACATTGACGGGAGCCCAGGGTCAACGCCCATCTCCAGAGTGTGCAGCAGGGGCTTCTCCTAAGGAGAGGTTGCTGGGCTTCCACGCACACACCGGGACACCACTCCCACCCACGCTGTCCCACTCTAAAGACCGAGGGCCGGGGCAGCGGGGCAGCAGGGCTTGCTCAGAGGCTGTCCCTGTCCTTTGCTCAGTCGTATTTGGAAACGGCTTCCCGGCGTATTTTCTAGAAACTAGGTCCAAGGATGGAAGTAGGTTTACAGCTCAACTAGTGACCTAGACTTCACTTCCAGAGGGGAAGACACGCGTTTTGTTGTTGTTAATAAATTCTTTTTTTTTTCCAGATGGGGTCTGTCACCCAGGCTGGAGTGCAGCGGCATGATCCTGGCTCACTGCAATCTCTGACCCGCCAGGCTCAAGTGGGTCTTGTGCCTCAGCATCCTGAGTAGCTGGGACTACAGGCCCCACCACACCCGGCTGATTTTTGTATTTTCAAGTAGAGATGGGGATCGCGCCATGTTGGCTAGGCTGGTCTCGAACTCCTGGTCTCAAGTGATCAGCCTGCCTCGGCCTCCCAGAGTACTGGGATTACAGCCATGACTCACTACGCCTGGCCTGCTGTTGATGATAAATTCTTAAAAGTGGTTTTGATTTCATATTTGTCACTTGTGATCATAAAACTTAATTAGGGCTCGCCAAATACTGAACCAAACGATTCTCCAAAGTGACTTTTAGAAAGTCTTCGAGGTTTCCAGGGTAGGTGAGCAGGAGGGATGGCTGCTTTGTGATTCAGAACACTGGCTTTGAAGCAAGAACTACCACTTGTCACAACAGCTGGGTGACGATGCAGTGACCTTTCACCCCTCAGTTTCCTCATCTGTACAATGGGCACAATCACAGTTCCTACCTCGCAGGGCTGTCAGGATTTTGAGACAACACAGATCCAGGTAGGGAACGGTGTCTAGCCCATAGTCAGAGCTCGGAAGTATAAAGCATCCTCTTCCCCCACCTCCCTTCCACACTCCTATCTCCCCTTCCAGATCAATCGAAACCTAAGCTATGCTGGGGACGGGGGCAGCCAAGGCAGTCAAGGTAGGGGCTGGTGGCGTGCAGGGGGATTGACCGCATCAGTGAGCACAGTGAGGATCATGCGAGAGGCTTCTCCCTGTGGGAGAAAGGAGCTACACATACGGAAGAGGAGGCTGGGCACTGTGGCTCATGCCTGTCATCCCAGCACTTTGGGAGGCCGAGGTGGGAGGACTGACTGAGCCCAGGAGTTCGAGACCAGCCTGGGCAACATGGTGAAACCCCCTCTCTACGAAAAGTGCAGAAATTAGCCAGGCATGATGGTGAGTGCCTGTAGTACCAGCTACTTGGGTGAGACTCTGTTTTGAAAAAAAAAAAGGAAGAGCAGAAAATCGGGAGGGATCCTTTATGGAGGTGAGATGGAATTAGAGGTACTGTTGTGAGCCAAGGCTGGGGCGAGGATGTATGGCGATAAATACAGATGTGAGTGTATGTCTGCGCACATGTGGCATGTATACATGTGGGGGAAGTCTCTGCACACACACAAGCACACACACCCTATCTCCTGCCCCCAAGAGGGCCTGGGGACAGACACCCCAGCGTCCACGAGGACCCTAGCACCCAAGTCATACCTTCTAAGCTCTACCTTCCGCTAACAGAAACAGGGCTCCTGGAGGAATGTCTGATTCTGAGGCTGGGCCGTCTACGCCAGCAAGCAAGGGAGTCCTCACAGAAGGATGGAGGCGCCTCGGAGGGCACAAAAGCTGCTTTCAGTGGCCCTCACTGGCCAAGCTGAGCACCAAAATACATAATGATAGGATGTGTTATAACCCAGTGAATCACACGGAGAGCCCTGAGTCTATGCAGGTGGAAGAATACAAATAATCCGAGGGTTTAATGAGGAACGGACATTCGCATCGCTCCAAAGCGCTCCCTGTGTTTATCTCAGAATGCAGGGTTGCTTTAGCTTCTGAAAATCAGTCAATGTAATCTACCAGATTAACTAACCAAAAAGGAAAACACAGTCTTCTTTCTTCGTTTTTTTGAGATGGAGTCTCACTCTGTTGCCCAGGCTGGAGTGCAGGGGTGCGATCTCAGATCACTGCAACCTCCGCTTCCTGGATTCAAGTGATTCTCCTGCCTCAGCCTCCCGAGTAACTGGGACAACAAGTGTGGACCATTACACCTGGCTAATTTTTTATATTTTTAGTAGCGATGGGGTTTCACCATGTTGGCCAGGCTGGTCTCGAATTCCTGACCTCAGGTGATCCACCCACTTTGGCCTCCCAAAGTGCTGGGATTACAGGTATAAGCCACCACACCTGGCCTTGCTGAGAAATTTCTAACAGGGATTGCAGTTTGTATTTACAGTATATCCCAAGTTCCCTACATAGGGTGACAAACCCTGTGGGCTGTGAGATACTGGCACAAAACAGAACTCAGGGCTACTCACCAATCTGCCCACTGCTGGCCCAGGGCTGACCTGGCCCGTTTGCACCGTCGGGCCTAAGCCTCTGTGGGATGGCTCTGCAGAGGTGACGCTCCCTTCTCTGGATTCTGATGGACCTGTGGCCTCTGGGTGGGAGCCTTCGAGGCCAGCCTCCCTGCTAACCCTCTCATACGACTCTTCTCCGGGCAGCTCCCCAGGAGGACTGACATATGAGTAAGTCGTAGATGTAGCAGTGATTTCCCTTTTGGGGGATGCAGCTTCCATAAAGTAATATTCCTGTTCGCTTTCAGCATCTCCGTAGGACTCAATTTCCTCTTCCTCTTCCTTTTCCACTGTGGCTTCCTCTCGGACTGCAACGTCCCCTTCAGCCTCGACCTCTTCTTCAATTGCAGCTTCCGCCGGGGCTGTGACTTCAGGACGCTCTGTGCTACCAACAGCTTCTTCACTTTTCTGGCCATTGTTGTTCTGTAGTGGTGACCCCTGCAAAGGTGAGGCAGGAAACAAATCAGGAAACAAAGTATAAAGGACCTTGTGAGGTTTTATTCTTTACAGCGTAATTTCACCAATGGGAAAACTGCATGTATACCCTTCTCACCACCACTAAGAAATCACGTTTCATGCTTCAGTGTATCTGTTCTTTCTTCTTTTCTTTTCTTTCTTTCTTTCTTTTTTTTTTTTGGTGACAGAGTCTCGGGCTGTCGCCCAGGCTGGAGTGCAATGGCACGTTCTTGGCTCACTGCAACCTCCACCTCCTAGGTTCAAGTCATTCTCCTGTCTCAGCCTCCCGAATAGCTGGGATTACAGGTGCACACCACCGGGCCTGGCTAATTTTTATGTTTTTAGTAGAGATGGGGTTTTATCACGTTGGCCTGGGTGGTCTCAAACTCCTGACCTCAGATGATCCACCTGCCCCGGCCTCCCAACGTGCTGGGATTACAGGCATGAGCCACCGTGGCTGGCCTCTAATTCTCTTTAATTCCTGGTAAACACAAGCCCAGAATCACTTCCCACAGGGAATTTTACCATGTCGCCTCCATCATCCCCTTCCTTCTCTCCCCCAGAAGCCGATCCGTCTTCCGGATGAGACCTGGTTTTAGAGAAAGAATCGAACAGGTTCAAGTAATCGTTTTCTTTTTCTCGTCACTTTCCACCTCCTGAATTCTGCCTGTCCCTTTGTTTACTCTTACTTCTCTCCTCCCCGTAGGCTGCTGTCACGGCTTGGTCCTATTTTTCAGGAACCCCAGCACTAGGTCCTGCCTGTCCGGTGGCGGAGGTGCCACAAACACAAAGCTCCATGAGTGAATGAAAAATATAATTCGTAAAACACGGAAGGAACAGCAGGATTAGATCACCTCGGAAAAGTCATCTCAAATATAATGTGTCTGGGACGGAACCGGGGAAAAGAAATCGGCAGTAGAGAGAGCAGCGTGATCAGGGCGAGCGTTCCAGGGACCCTGAGTTTCTCCCTTGTTTATGTAGCACAAGAATGCCGTGGTTCACATTATTTATATATATATATATATATATTTTTTTTTTTTTGCTTTTTTTTTAAAAATTAAAGATCCAAGATATTTTTATCTGGCAAAGGAATACAGATAGGTTCAAGACAGTGAGAGCTTCCTGTGGTCTTCCCTTTCCTTCCCAAGATAATCATCAGTAATATTTAGGATTACAGTCTTTCGACATTTTTTTTCTGTGCTTTAAACACACACACACACCCCCTTTATTAGAGATCAAACTATACCTGCTGTTTTACATTTATGCCTATCATTTTATTAATATCTTTAGTCTTTCTGTGTCAGTACCTACAGACCCACCTCAAAAAAAATGAAAGAATATGGAAGTGACTACGGTAAAAAGGCCAATTTTTTTTCAAATTGTTTCTATCCTTTTAAACAGCCTAAGTAAGCAGAGGCCGGATGGCAGAGGTGGGTGGATTTTCACCCAGCCGCCCTCCCTGTGCGCGCCCAGGCCCCAGGGGGGTGACCTTGGTTCACCGCGGGGCCGCCTAGCCGCAGGGACCCCTCCCATCGTGGGTCACCCCCCAAGCCAGAGGGAATCCGTCCTTGCAGGAGGGAGGAGGGGGACGGCCTGGTCTCCGGCCACAGTGAGTGGCCCAGGCACAAGGTCAGGGGCTGCATCCGACAGACCCGCGCCCTGCAGGACCCTGTTTTCAGGAGGGCTCCGCGCGGGGACCGCCACGCAGAGTGGTTGCCATGGTGACAGCAGAGCCAGCGGGCCCGGGTTTGAGACGGAGTCGCACGCTTAGAGTAGGAAAGAGGGAGGCCGGGAGAGGACAAAGGGACAGGAGGGGGGAAGTGAGAAGGGTTGGCGGGGGTGGGGGGGGCATGAACGCGGTGGGTGGGAAAGGCCAGCAAAACGGCGAGCGAAGGGAGGACACAGGCGAGAGAAAGGGGAAGTGGAGGCGAAGGGCGAGGCAGGGGGCGACGCGGGGACCAAGACCCGCGGCCCCTCGACCCCGCTTACCCGCCTGCCGCGCCGCCGGGCTCCGCCATCTCCCGTTGCTAGGCGACGCTGTCAACATCCGGCGGGGCCAGGACGACGCGCGCGGCGAGGGCGGGGGCCTCCGGGGGCGGCGCGGCCTTTGTGCCACCTCCGAGGTGTCATCCCTTAGACTGCAATGGTCAGAGCACGACCGTGCGTTTCCTCGATCGCTCTCTGCGCCCGGGTCCCGCCTCGCCTGCACTCCGGTTCTGTAAAGCGACAGCGGCGTCTGCGTGCGCCCAGCGGGCGTCTCGAGGCCCTGGAGGGACCGGCCGGGCACCCGGGGCCTCCGCACGGCCAGGCGCCCGGGAGTGGCCGGCGGGCTGCGGTGCCCGGGGCCGGGTGCCCCCTCGCTTGGCGCGCTTCTCCGTCTCCGGCCCTGGGGGCTCCGGTGCTCCTCTCCAGGGGTCCTACGGAGACTCCTCGGGAAGCAGGGACGCCCGGGGGTCTTCCCGAGGGTGTCGTCCCTTCCTAGCCCCAAATAGGAGAAATTTCCGAAATTTCCCTGCAGGGGGCGGCGGCCGAGGGCGAGCGCGCTCGCGGAGCGTCCGAGGGGGCCCGTGTCTTCCCCGGGGGCGCGGGGCTCGGGCCCGGGCACAGTCCCCGGGGCGGGGGCGCAGCGAGGCCTGAGGGAGGGCCAGCCGCGAACCAGGGGCGTGCGCCCAGGGCTGGGCCGGAAGGCGGGCGGGAAGCACGGCAGGGGCGGGCCTGGGGGCGGGCCGGGGGCCGGGCCTCCCCGCGCGTCCCCGCCTCGCCGCGCCTCACAGGCGGCGGCAGCGGCGGAGGCGACGGTGGCGGCTCTGAGAGCCGGCGCGAATCCGGCCCCCGCAGCGGGACCCGGGTGGGTATGGGGGCCCGGACGGGGCCGCGGGGGCGGGGTCCGAGGGTCCACGGAGTCCCGGGCAGGGCTCTTAGGCGGAGCTCGGGCGGGGGCGCGCGGGGCGCGTGGGCCTGCAGCCGCGGGACCGGGGAGGGGCCGGGGTCCGGCCGCAGTCCTCCGAGCGCAGGGCGCCAGCAGGAGCGGGGGCGTTGCGGGAGGACCCCGATCACGCAGGGGCACCCGGGGACTCCCCTCGCGGCGGGTGAGGGCGCCGGGGGCACGGAACGGGCCTAATTCGGGGAGACTGGTCCCCGCCTGCCTGGAGCCGTGGGCCGGGGAACTTGCGGTCTTTGTCTGGCCGGATCGGCGGAGCAGAGGCATGGGAACTTGTGGGGTGCCAGCGCGCGCCCACACAGCCCCCGAAGTGTGCGTCTCCCCAGCGGCGCGCGCTCAGCGTTCCCGGCCTGTAGGGCTCGGTGGTCTGGGCTGCCTGAGATCCGCGTGTCGGGATACTCACTTCCGTTCCGCCTGGGCTCGCCTCTCTTGTTCTTTCCTTTGGAAAGAAAAAAAAAAAAAAAAAAAGAACGAAAGGAGAGAAAGAGAAAAAGAAAAAAAAGGCAGCTGAAGATTGCTAAACGTAACCCAGGGGATCCTGCCGGAAGCCGCTGAATGCTGAAATCCTGTGATTCCCACAGTGGGAAGCTGGTGTTGCATGTTGGCCACAAAGTAGTTCAGATTCCATTCAGAAATAGAAAATGAATAGAAAACACGTAACAAAAGTTAGTCTTGCGTTCCTTATGGGAAAGTTTGTTCTACTGCCCGGGTCGAGTTCATATGAGAAGCTGGGCTGACTGGCCAGCTTCGGCGACTTCAGCCTAAAGATCTACTTTCTTTTCTACCGAAGACACCTAATTCTTTTATTTGGAATAAAAAGGGAAATCAGTCTTCAAGATGCTCACGTGAGGCAGCATGTTGCCAGAGGGTGGGTGCGAAGACTGGGGGCTGGGGATTCCATTCCAAATCTGCTGCCGACTGATCAGAGCACTTTTTCAAATCCATGCCTCAGGTTTAGCAAATCCTCATTAGAAACGATAACAGTAAAATTGGTGAATACTAAACACTTTTAAGAACCACGAAAGCTTTTGCAAATGAAGAGTAAAGTGAGGAGTAACTTTTAGTATTAACTACGAAGTTCATGAATGGCTGTTGTTCGTGTCCTGAGTGTGGTGGTTGTGTTTTCTGTTGCACATATTTTTTTGTAAGTGGCATTTTTATGGTGAGACTGTGGCTAAAGGAAGTTTTTATGCCTGGGCACTGTGGCTCATGCCGGTAATCCCAGCACTTTGGGAGGACGGACGAGGCTGGCAGATCACCTGAGGTCAGGAGTTCGAGGCCAGCCTCGCCAGCAAGGTGAAACCGCATCTCTACTAAAAATACAAAAATTAGCCCGTCGTGGTGGCTCCAGCCTGTAATCCCAGCTACTCAGGAGGGTGAGGCAGGAGAATCGCTTGAACTTGGGAGGCGAAGGCTACAGTGAGCTGAGATGTGCCGCTGCGTCCCAGCCCAGGTGACAGAGCAAGACTGTGTCTCAAAAAAAAAAAGAAAGTTTTTATTTGTGGAATTATTTAATCCTCTTGCACTTATGGTGACTGTGTTAGCAGTTCCTAATTATCATGCATGCATTCACTTAACCCACAAAACAGGCTCATGAAGTGAGGACTGCATTATGCCCATTTGCAGATGGCAACAGTGATACTTAGAGAAGTAACTGCCCTGAGTTCATGCAGCTGAGAGTGACAGAACTAGGCCGTAGGCCCAGGACATCCCAGCTCCAGAAAACCATTGTACCACTGCCTCCTCTCATGTGGTGGGTGCCCGCCATTCATATACAGATATTTGATAAAAGTGCAGGAAGGTGGGACTGATCCCATGTCCCCACTAGCTGCTAATCTCAGTTCACTTTAGTCTGGAAAGCATCCCCCAGGCTTCAGGATAAAGGCGTTGAGTTTGCAGAACCTACCTACAATTGCACTGCCCTCAGTTTTGGGGAGTAAGGTGCAGTGGTTAAGAACATGGCCTAGAAAGATGGACTGCTGTGTTCAAATCCCAACCCTGGACCGGGTGTGGTGGCCCACACCTGTAATCCCTGTACTTAGGAGAATCACTTGAACCTAGAAGTTCAAGACCACCTTGGGCAACCTAGAGAGACCCTATCTCTACAAAAAGTGAACAGATTAGCCGGGCACGCCGGTGAGTACCTATGGTCCCAGCTACTTGGGAGGCTAGGTGGGGGGACAGCTTGAGCCCAGGAGGTCAAGGCCGCAGTGAGCTGTGATCAGCCTCTGCATTCCAGCCTGGGCGGCAGAGTGAGACTGTTTCAAAAAAACCCAAAACACTGAAAAAAGCCAACTCCTCTGGCACATACTTCAGTGCCTTAATTTCCCCATCTGTAAAGTAGGAATAACCATGCTACCTACCTCAAATACATGGTGCAAGGATTTGGGGAAGCATTGAATTCCTGACACACCTTAAATTCCTGTTGATGCTAATGACCATTATTTGGATTTTCCACGTTTAACTAGATTGACACAAAACATTTTGTGTTTGTGCTTTGACCCCTTACTCCGCATTTGTGTGGTCCGTCAGGTGGAAAGCGACTGCAGGCAGACGTAGGATGCACCGTTTGTGCATCTTTGCACTCTTATCCCTGTACCTTCGCTGGGGGCTGGGTCCCTGCAGGATGCTGTGAGGAGCAGAGCGATCAGGTTGCTTGGCAACACCATCTCCTGTGAAGATTTTAGCTCCCCTTCTTCCCTGGCTGAGGGACCCTGAGTTTGTCACAGGCCTAAATTCTCTTGTAAGATTAGCCACTTCGTTTCATCCAGCATTAGGCGGTGGGGGTGGAGGGCCCTGGTTGTGAAGGTGACAGGGACAGAGGGTGATTTTATGATGGGATTGTACACTGTACATCATTTCTATTGCATTTGCATTATATTCGGCTGTTGATGAGGCCAGTGCACAGGAGAGAACACAAGTTTGTACCTTCCCAAACATACGGGGCGAAGATGTGGGAAGCCTTTTTCCATTCACATCCGCGGTGGTGTTCTTCATCCCATTGCCTTTATTGGTGTTTTTACCCTATCTGTCCTTTGAGCACCTGGTCTTGCATCTCTAGTAAATCTGCTTTTATGAGCTGTCTGTGGCATCTGATTTGAAATACGTTCTTTACTCTGTCTTTGGAACTTACATAACCGTCCTCAGAGGATGAGAGAAATCGGGCCACTAGAAGACTAAGTTCGATGTCTGCTCGAGGTGGCTTCTGTCACATGAATAAAAGAAAAGAGAAAGAACTGAAATCCACTGTCCGGCCGGGGCGGCCTGTCCTTCTCTTGCTGAGCCTTGGGCAGTGAGTGTGCAGGTGTTGGCAGGGGATGCTGCATGTGTCTGCTGGTCTGCAGACGCTGAGATGTGGCAGTATTTTCTCCACGGCCGTTCTGGATTGGCCACAGTGAAGCCAGCGTACTGCAGGTGCCAAGCCTGCATCCGTGCTGCTTGCCCGCTTCAGCTGTGGGCTGCTTTGCACGTTGAGTGAGCCTGAGTTCAGTGGTCTGATACAGTTCATCGTTACTTTAGCCCTCTGGAAGCGAGGGGAAGGGCGTACATTACAGATGTCATTTGGCAGCCTCTTGCCTTTTATTTGCTGTAACTAAAATGCTTTCTCTAAGCAGGATCAGTTGTGTTGCTTTTGCGTGTTGTCAATATGTCCTCTCAATCTGAGTTCAGTTTTGTGATGCATTCGCTCCCCCTCGCTCACAGGTGGTGAGAAGCTTCAGGACCGCACAGAAGTAGGAGGTGCGTGAGCCAGCCTCCGGGCGGTGTTTGGTTTCCTGGCTGGGTCTGCATCTTCCCTTACCCTTTGGGCTTAGTCTTGTCTTGGCCCCAGATCCAGGCTCACCCCTGAGTTGAGTTTCTTCTCCCAGGCCTGACTTCCTTGGCTCTTTGGGGTGAAAATGAGATTTTGAAACTTACCACCAAGGATGTAGAAATGGCAGGTGGTCTCTCCTTGGAGGCAGAGGCTTTGGGGTTTTCCAGGGAGTGGGTGCTAGTCGAGGAGACCGCTGGACAGCTGCAAAAGGAGAGTCAGAGCCACACAGGCCACCAGGTTTTCCCTCACCACGGTTTTGGTGACGGTCCCGTCCGGTTACAGGGCCTTGTTTCCCTGTGGTCCAAGATCCCAGCACTGATGCCCCAAGCCCTAGTTCCTTCATTATAAATGCAACTTGCTGTCCTGTTCTCGCTTCTGCGTAGAGGCTTACCTTTGGGCCCAGCCTTTCCGGGTGCATCCGGAACGTGGCTTCTGTGTGCAGCCAGTGTCTTTCTCTTCTGAACTAATCCTGTAACTTGAAGTTCAGCACAGCTGCGAGGAGAAGTCATGGCGGCCCCACAGGGGCTTATCCTGGTGATGACACTGAAGGAGCTGCCTTCCCCAAGCCCTGCTGCCCAGGGACTGGGGCCTGATCCGGGCTGCCTGCAGGATTCCATATCACCCTTTGACCTGCAAAGCCAGGGGTTCCCGGAAAGAGGTACAGGGCCCCTGCCTGGCTCTGGGCAGGTGGCGGGAGCTGAGGCCTCATCCAAGGCATGTCAGCAGCAGATGTTTTCCAAGGGGAGGGGGAGCGCGATCCTTGTTTGCGTGTGTCTGGCTCGTGTTGAATACGGTGTCGCCGTTTCCCTGTTCTTTGTTGCTTGGGCTTTCAGGGCAAAGCAGATGAACCAGTTTCTGCTCGCCACGTGGCAGGTGACCAGGCTCAGTGCATTTTGCTCCTGAGCAGCGTGGTGGGGACACGGCCAGGGGAATA